CCAAATATGTATTTCTGTTTTGGAATGAAAATGTAAGAGACTCGTTCGTCAAAAGTAAATAGGACAAGGCGCTCTCGCACCATACTGCGACTGCGAGCTTGTCAACGATTACGTGCGCCCAACGTCGATTTGCTAGTTTCGTCCCTGAATTTCGCTACTGTGTTGCGTTAGAGCGCGTGCGTTAACTATCGATGTCGATTATCTATCGATATTTTCGCGGTGATCGATATTCTTGGAACCAATCCGGCGCTTCTCTGAAAAATCCTAACGAATTTTGAACTAAAACCAGTAGAAACTTCGCTGCTCGCCGGGCATTCTGTCGTGAACCTTTGCAGTAATCGCAGATCTTAACAAACTTCTCATTTTTCAATTCGCGCGTTAATTATCGCAAAACAATGATCGTAAACGATTTTCGTGATCGCCTAGATTTTTCGTGTACGGCACTCTCCATCACCACTTCGCGGCTCTCCAGTGCCCACCGAGTGTAATCGTGTTTTCGTGAGACATTGTTAACACTCCCAACAATAAACTGTTCCGACCAAACTCCGGTGTATTTTTTCGCTGCAACACCACCTTCACTCCGCAGCCTTTTCAGGATAGAATTAGCTATCTTAGAGCGGTCGTTTCAATCCAATGATCGACTCGGCTCGCGATAACCTCGCAACATAAACATCTTGACAATCGATAATTTATTAGAAACGATATTTTAATTAAGGAGGACGGATTAGTTCTTTGCTTTTTAATCTCTTTTTAAGTAATGTTACAAGGTCAGTGATGATTAATTATACTTCATTATTCCGCGATTAGTCGGCTGAATGAGTAACTCATGCCCAGAATATGCCAATCCGACATTAAAACTAGGGACGGCTTTTACGACAAAAGAGTAATTTAAAAAAGAACATACGCAAAAAATGGTACAAAATGTAAAATATGTTGCTTATTAGTTTTTTGCTAAATAAAATTTTGTCAATTACGTTAAAGACGTTTATTTTCTTTTGAAAAGATCCTGTTTCATTTAATTTGTGTAGTGATTCCAAACTTTTGGCCGATACTGTACGTTACCATCGTGTTTCAAAGAATATTTTACAATCTTCAAAACACCATAAGCTGAAGCCAGACATTCGCTGTTTCCTGTAGGAATTGTAAGTGGTAAATTGTATGACAAGTAGCAATGGATAGTTATGTCGACTTAACGGCCGTCATTTTTATCACAGACGGAATGATCTGTCGCACGAGAAATCATATCGACAAACAGTATACTCGGTCGTAAAAAAAGAGTCAGTGTTTCCATTCAAAAGCTGAAATCGTAGAGGAAATTTTTCCGACTGGTTGCCAAACAACCACACACGTGTCAATCTGGTGTACGTTAAACATGCATCACGGCAGATTTTAAGGTACCGTTACTGATACAACTGGCACTGTACACGACAAGTTGTATAACAGCCTCGCGTTCGTTACGATTATCGTTTAGACAGTCTGTTACTCGGAGTATCGAGAACGATATACATTCCCGTTTATAAGTATTAGGACGCCTGGGCCCACAGTTACAAGTTATCAGAAATAAATTCTGTTGCACACTAGTAACAAGGTTTTTAATAAAACAAGTAGAGTTCTGCAAGTGAATTTTACAAATTACAGGTCAATTGATTGTCGTATTTCACGTTTTGAAGATATGTGCACCTTGACAATGGTGAATTACTAATTAATATAGGTAAGTGTGTTTTTGTTATATGATAACTTACTTACGAAAATCAACAAGCACAATAGCTTATTATTTTGACAATGTAGCAATAAAAAAGAAAAGAAGATAACACTGTTCATAAAATTTTGAAAATTCTAAAACAATGGAGTCAAACCGGTTTTACTTACTTGATTTTGAATTGCTGAGTACAATCGTAATCTTACTTTTGACTCTGTATCTACGTAAGGACCTTTTAAAATTTAATTATAAATTCATAAATATGGAGCTGTAGAAATGTATTATACAGAGTGTCTCAAAATCGTCGTACAAAAATAAATCGAACAAAAAGAATAATATTTTTTTAAAAATATGTCAGTATGCTTGCAATTGAATAGGGCTTGATTATCTCGTCTGTTCACTGCATTCTGTTTCTACTTACTACCATGTAAATACACGCAGTTCAGATGAATTTTCAAATTCGATTTTCTCGAAAACGAAGTCTCAAGTGAAAGAATTGTATTCTATATTTTCGACTAATTTTTTCACGTAGAATCACCCCTTGCCCGGTTGTACCGCCAATTATATGACACCTTGTATACATGTAGTACCTATACATATTATAACAATATCTTTGCTGTTGTCCCTATTTATTTAAAATGATTTGTCCTTAAAAAATGGAAAACACACAAAAAGTAGACGTAAAATTTAAGTACGTTGAGTATTAAAAACAAATATTTAGGAACATAATACCTATTGAAATATTCCTTATTTCTGGTCATATAGACCCAAGGAGAACAGCAGGGATGTTACTAATACTATATACTATTACTATAATCTATTTCATTTAATTAAACGACGTACAGGGGACCATACAATACATTGCCTTTGGTCGTTGCGAACGGTACCAAAGTCCGTGCAGATATACGGATTCCGTCTCTGATGGGTTAAATCGTTTTTCAAACCCACTCGAGATCTTCCTCCCAATTAATAAATTTCATGAACCTCGGTACTCGTCGAACGTTTCATTGAATTCCGATTTCTTATCGAATTACCGGATCACGACGAAAGTTTATGAATCTCACGGAACTTTTACCTCACCGCCTTGGACGAAAATCGTCGACGAGCCCGCGAAAGTGAACGGTGAAATTCGCCGGGAGCAGCCCGGGCACAATGAGAACGTGGAACAAACCGGGAGCGGACAAAGGGAGAATCAATAGCTCGATTTACGAAGTACCTTGTTGCCGGGGAAATTTATCGCGACGAGGCAGCTGGAAATGAGAGTAGGTACGATTAAAACGGGAGGTCTATTTAATATCCGCGCCGCGTGCGCAAATTATTCGCCGGGCGTGAATGCTTGCCTAACACAAGCGGCGCGGCGCGTCATCTCGGAGCTACGGCGCGGAGCGGGCGCGGCGTTCCGCCCTCGTGAACACTTCCGGCGCTCGAGAGAAAACACGATGTATTCAGGCTTTTTCGGGAAGTTTAAACCCCTTTTTTCAGGCAAATAATTGTTCGTCAATCGGAACAAAATGAATTTCGTTGAATGTATGGAATAGGGAATTATACAGCGCACGACAGCCGAAAAGACTTTTGAAAGTGATAAGTTCAAATACGATTTCTTTCGTTTCCTGTTGATTTCAGATTATTTATTAAATTCTATTCGGAGGACTATTAAACTGCGTGTACACTATACAGGAAAATAGTGTTATACGTATAACAATTTGTTATATAACTTTGCCATGTATTATGTTTTTATAACTTGGTACAAGATTATACCTTCTGGAAGATCCTGTAACTTGTTTGTGTAATATTTTGTATCTCATTATTAAATAATTGTCCAACACTTGAAGGATAACATATAACTTGCTATATAACACGAAAAATGTTATATAACATTTTTCTGTCTAACAAATTTTATAACTGCTATATAACGTGTTATGCTATGTAGTGTAGACGCAGCATAAGGCTGTTTGCTGAAATTTTGATATTTTCATTTTTAAGAGGTTTAGTAGTAAATAATTCCTAATCTCGAAGAAAACGTACATTTGTCTGGTTTTTTTGAGATATTTATAAGTATGGAGAACTTTATAAAGAAAGTTTCTCCGTATCTCTAAAAGTAACAGAGCTATTCAAGGTGGTCAAAGTTACTTGGCCATCCTGTATATTACTGAATCACTCCACCATAGCTAATGAGACAAAACGCAAAAACTTTCCGTTGTTCTCAATACATACAATTTTTATAAAGTGTACATTATTGTAACGGTGTGCTTTATAAAGTACAAAATCTTTACAACAATAAATAAGACGAGTATTTTAATTTGGCCTAATCTCTTCTCTTCTGGAATGCGACACTCCCAAGTGATCATGTGTACCGAACGCCGCTCTGTGCACCAAAGAATTTACACGGAACTTCTATGAAACGTAAATTACTTTAACTGTATGCTAGACATGGCGATTCTAGCAAGTAGGTCCAAGCTATAGCTCGGTTGCAAGTGAAGTTAGAAAAAGACGTGGGTGGAAAATTTTGTACATACCGTCTAACAAGCTCTATCATTCGATTATATGATGTTTTTTTACAAGTGTATCAGTGCGCTTGCAAAATACAATTGTAGTTTGTTTGCAAATAGAACACTACAATTCTGTTTCCATAAATTGATTTCTCATGTCATTGTGTGTGTAAAAGGTATAAGGTGAGGTCATTAAAGACACAATACTTTAAGAGATACTAAATGTTTTGCCATCCGCAGTCCAGTGCATTGGTCACCACGTTCATTTGATTTTGTAGCTTATATGATACATACATATGTCCGCACGAGTATCGATCATCGACCCACGTGATTGATGGAACATAATCAAAAGGAGAGGAGAGCTCGCCACGTGGTCGAAGCAGAGAGATATTCATTCTATAATCACTTTACTTTATTTTGTATTCTTATTTTGTTAAATATATGTATGTATACTGTTTACATCATCAAACAATGGTGCTGTCAATATTATTTACGGACACACAGATGTGAATATTCTTATCTATTGAATATCATGCAGTCGGATTATAAAGCTTGTTAAACAGTAGCAAAATTTTCCTCCACGATTTTTTTCCAACTTCACTGTAAACAGAGCTGTAACCTGACCTACTTGCCAGAATCACTCTATGCATAAACAACAAATGGTTCACAGCAATAAATCTATAAAAAGAGTACTTCAATTAGATTTAATACTTCTCCTTCCTGGAATAGAAGATTCCCAAGTGACCGTACGTACCGAGCGTGTTACTCCTGTACACCAAAAGATTTAGTCGGACAAATAAATGGGAACTCACCGATGGAAGTACACCAGTATGTCTGCCTGGTCGCTGTTAACTTCCTGGAAGGTGAGTCTCGAGTTCCGTGCCCATAGACCGAGGGCTTTGCTCAGTTCGAAACGAACGCCGCCTCTGTCGAGACCACTTGGTTGTTCGGTTCTCAGGCTGCAACAAAAAAGAAGGGTAGATCATTAGGAGAACCCGCCGAAAATCGATTCTCTAGCAGCGGGGTGACGCTCTAGCTCCCTTATCCTGTTCTTCCTCTTCCCCTTTCTCTTGTCGAGATGCTCTCTTCAGGCCCGCTAACCACGAGAGCAAACCCGGAGAAAATGTTTCCGGAGGGAGACGACGCTGAACGAAAGACGATTCAATCGTTCGATAAGGGGTGAGGCCTTGGGAAATTAGGTAAATTATTTCCGAGCGGAGAGGAACGTAATAAGAGAAACTCGGCGGTTGCGCCTGCTCGAGGACACAGGAAATTCCGTTAAATTACTGGAATTCTGTTCTGTGGATAAATAAGGAAAAAAGAAGTAATATGTTTTCCGGTTGAGTCTGAGAGAAAACTCGGTATTTCGTTGGAGTTTCACTGAATTTGAAGGAATTAGTCGCGGGAAATACTCGTCCCTGATAAATGAAACGGAGAAATGAAAATGAGCGAAATTGTTTATGCCACTTTTAACAATTTTAAATCTTTATTCAGTTATTCGAGTGATTATAAAGTAGATACAACTGGGCGTGTAGAGTGATTCACACATTCATTCGCGTACGGTGGCTGTCAAAGTTTCTGGCCAAACTGTAATTTCAATACATATGTATATATACCTTCTTAAAAATATGTAATACGAATAAATTTTTGATATACCCACATGGAGCATACATTTGCACTTTCAGATTTGGTATATTACAAATTTTCTAGTATAAAAGTAATCTGTTCGTCTGTTTTTAATGAATACGGGCCTGACAAAAGTTATTGGAACGATACGGTGACATTGCAGTTTAGCCGGAAACTTGTGGCAGTCACTTTACCTTCGAAAGAACAATTAAGTGTTCAAATTCGTGTGCTGTGTGCATTTTTATTATTTTTATTTTTATCATTATTTTTTGATAAATTTTTCTTTATTTTAGAATAAAATTTACAGAAATTCGAATTGAAAAGAAAAAGTTGTTTAGCCCGTTAAGGCTTCTATCAGATTCCACATAAAAATGATTCCTGGCTGCCTTGTAGTTATTAGTGGTGCTATATCGTAATGTCGTTCTACAATAGTTCTCCCCGCACGTCACTAGTCGTTGCTGGAAGTGCCATGTGAATATCAGTGCTCTGTGTGTTGTCCACAAGAAAAATCTAAAATTACATATAATATAATAAATTTATATACATATAATATATAAATATAAATTTATAGTTGTATAATTTTTGTCATAAACACACACACCTGCTTCTTGCACGAATTTAACCACAATTCAATAATAAGTTAATTAATGTTTCGTTACCTCATGTCGTAGGTTGATGTTATATTCAACCACTGAATGTGAGTTGGGTGTTTGGGGTCATATGATCCCTCTCTAGTAGGATAAAATGATCCCAGGAATCATTTTACCCATATGCTATATTATTCTTTTTTGTTTTAGTTACAACAATGCCACGTCAATATGAAAGTAAAACAACGCGTCAAAGCTGTTTTTATTTAAATAAAATGTAATAACTGAAATGCTTTTTAATGTACGTCGTATTTACTATCAGTAGGTATAAAATGATACCCGGGGATCATTTTATACACATACATTACAAAATGATCCTTAAGTATGCCTTCAAAGAAATTTGAATAGAACATACAATTGATCACGTAGCTAAATTTTATTTAAGCCAATGATAAGATAGACTAACTTACAAAAACTACTTGACTTTTATTTAAAGAATGAGCATTCGTATTTTGTATATAAATTTTTATAAAATGATATTTTTTAACTATTTATTTTGAAATTGTTTTAAATAAATGCTCTGTTTTTATACCGGGGAACTATTTAAAAATTTGAAAAAATCTGAGGATATAACCCCATTTGTCCTTTTTATAGACATATCTTCGAAAATATGGACACTTTGAAATTGGCCGTATGAAAATTAATTGAAGTGAATGCTGCATGAATTACACCTGCTCGAGCGGTCAAGCCGTGTGGTACTAGCCGGTAAGCCTCGGCTAGGCGTTCACTTCAATTAATTTTCATACGGCCAATTTCAAAGTGTCCATATTTTCGAAGATATCTCTATAAAAAGGACAAATGGGGTTATATCCTCAGATTTTTTCAAATTTTTAAATAGTTCCCCGGTATAAAAACAGAGCATTTATTTAAAACAATTTCAAAATAAATAGTTAAAAAATATCATTTTGTAACTGAAATAATTTTTATTTGGTACTCTTATATCTCCACTGTAAGTACCTGCAAAACTCATTTTGATCAGTTTCTTAGTTTAATAGTTATGATTTATTGGAAAAAGGTTGACCCTAAATTACAAACAGCTGTAAAATCTACAATTTTTAAAATTTTTAAAAATCCTTCGAGATACGTTTATATATCGCTAAAGACTATAACATATCCAAATTTTAACACAATGACCACATTCGCAAAGAACATATTTAGAAGATGGGATTGTGCCCGTTGTGATTATTATAAGGTCGTTGTAAACTGGTCTTAGTTGCTAATCGTTTCAAAGTACCACGGAGACCATCACAAATATTTTTGTCATGAGATGTAGCGAAAAAATGGATTTAAATCAGCCAAGCATAAGTGCTTTGTCTTAAGCTACGCTTACACTATATGTATAAGAAAACACGTTACACTAAATCCTCGGCGAGTATTCGTACATAAAATACGTAATTAAGATACAAAGGAAGAATATAACTCAACAGAGGTTTTTCTTAAAGGCAGATTTGAGGCGTCTGTACAGATCCCAAAGACGCAACCGGTGCATTGCGTTATTACCGATAGATAATAGTGGAGTTCAATGTAAATTTTTTTCTACTTCCACTGACAACTTCATACACACTGTTAAAACACCTAAATAATAATGATTCATGTCTAATCTATAAAAAAATTCGCATTTAATACTAAGAATTGTTTTATTTATATTGTGTACATATAAAAATATATAAAAATATTAACTTGTTTTTTCTTTAATCGTATAGGAAAGCGAGTAAAATAAGGGAAAACAACTTTATCTGAGTTTTAGTTCAAATTGGGGAATAAGTTCCTTTTAAAAAAGAATGTAGTGTAAGTTCGATCGTCAAACATGCCTCCATGAAAATGCTTATATCTTCCAAACCCATTGCGATCCCATTCTAAAAAGCTTAAAGCCTACTACTGAAACTATGGTAATTAACGTATGTAAAAATGAAAAAAATAAAAGATTCGAGTTTTGAAATATATAAGGTTAAAGTACGTTTTTATTATCCTTGAAATTTTTTCCTCCGAGAAAGTATGCTGTATTTTTTTCTCTGAAAATATGTACCTGTCCGTAACTAACGCAAAAAGGTTTATCCCAATCGACGGATTATAACCAAAGTTATGATTTTTTTAATGTACCTCTACTAGTCGAAAATAGACTATTTTTATGATTTTCAAACTACTGTAATTCAGGCAAAGTATCCCGCAGGACATGAAAGTTTTACCAAAATGCTTTTCCCGTGGGTATATAAGTTTCTACAAAAAATGAAAAAACTTGGCGATGGTCACATTAAAAAAAATCTCAATTTTGATTGATTTTCCATGGAATGGCCCAATTAAGAATCGCGGCTGCTGCACGATAACGTTAAACGGTTTCGAAATGAGTTATCGTCAAAGAAGAACCAAAAAAATGTTTTCAGCAGG